CCCTTGTCATACTCTAGGTCTCATCACGCCTTGAACCTCTGCAACTGCGTAGAGATGTTGCATCGCTTAGCGCCTTTTACCGCATGTACCATGGTGAGTGCTGTGAAGAGCTGTTCAACCTCATCCCTCCTTCCCCGTTCCTGCTCAGAAGCACGCGTGCATTCCATCGCGTACTAAAAGGTTCGGTGGCTCCTTTCTCTGCCGCACGGTTGACAAATGGAACTCCCTTCCGGCACATGTCTTCCCTCCCTCTTATGATATGGGGTCCTTCAAACGAGGCGTGAAGAGGCATATTGTAGGCAGGCAGGGTGGAGGTGGCTAGTGCAGTGAGGGTTTCATCGCTGCACTAGGTTCTTTCGCGTTTGGATACCACTTTCCACTTAACAGCAGGTGGAGTGGAGTCATTTGCCTGTCATGTATAAAAAAAATAAAATAAAAAAATACTGCGACATAAGTTGAAGTCCCATGTGCCTGTAACTTCACCAGCACCCTTAGCGCCCAGTTACATGATGCGAAAGTTTTCCGCCCAGTTACCACGCTTTCACTTACATTAATAGTGAATCTGAATTCTATTCATTACGCAACAACATTTAAATTCCTCTGAATATTACAACCACGTGGTCGCCGAGTACACTAAGTACAAGCCAGTCTCGCCCGCGCGCCCGGAACGCTCATTTAAGTAAAAACGTAAAAGCTAAACGAATAGAGCGTACTTTGCCATGACATATGCACGCGGTCGCTGTGCGACTTGAGGGCGACGACATTCGTGTCGAATTTATTCGAACCGGAACCTTCAAAATCGAAACGCAGTAATGCTCACATTACTGCTTGGCGGCAGAAATAGATAAAGTGGCAGTACTATCCTGGACGAACTTTTTCACTAGGATATATACTGCTACTAAATAACCTCCAATTTATGCTCCAAATTATTTTATCATATTTATATAATCTATGTTACGAAATAATAATAAAATAAATAATAATAAAATTTTTTATTTCTCACCACAATACAACAAAAATACAAGTGCTATTTATATATAACTATACTATAGATATTGTGGGAGACTGGTGCCTAAACTAGGCTCAGGGCCTGTATTTCAGGACACCAGGTCAAATAAAATATGAAATATGGAAATATGGAAATTACTAAAATAATATATAAGAAATTTTAAAATCATAAATGTATACGAAATCCTTGTCACCCTAGAGCACTCAAATAGCCCTACAGAGAATCCGGCGATCCAACGATTGAATACATTTAATTAGAACTCTTCAATGTGGAGAGCATACAGGTTCCATTCAAAATAACTGCCAGTAAAATCGGAAGACTGGCAGAATAAGAAGCTTTATTTTGACCGACGATGTTCAATTTTTTTTTAATCAATAGCGACACAGCCTGGTAGCTGTAAAGGTATCTAACTGACTGAGGAAATATTTTCATAGATTTCTCATAGATGGCGCTACGGCTAAAAAGTCATTGAAAACCAAATACAAAGATTCAACAACAAGCACATAGAAAAGTTCGTGAGATTCGCTGCTTTGTTCTGTGGCTTAGTCGGCATAGCATCTGGCACGGTTTGCTCGGAGACATCGGTTCGAATCCGGCCGGTCGGAAAATGAAAGGAAACAGCAACTACCTTTTGCCTCATATGATTCGTTTTAACGAGGATTTGATTTGAGTAGACCTCGCTAACAAATGCACCGAAAGAGGATAAACACACTTTTGAGATCGGTTTTTTTAATTTTTATTATTTACAACCGTGATACGTCACTCTAGCGAACTGGTTCTCGCTGGTTTTTCTCCTAGGTCGCGACTGAAAACCGGTACTTTGCCCAATGATGCAAACTTTCGCCCTTTTTGCTTCTGCTATTTGTATATAGATCGCTGCACTGTCAAACCACAGCTACTGGAGCGAGCGTAGCTTAGACTCCAAATAATGACCACCGTAAAGATTAAAACGATTTTGCCGCGAAAAATTGTCAGAAAATTAATCTATTGAAGAAAAATTACGAATTAAAATAAATTAATAATAAAATAAATGAAAGAAAAATTACACATTGTGCAGTAAGCCCATTATTGTAGTAGTAATTGTGTCCTGTATTAGTTAGGTCTGCAGGATGTTTTTCATGTGCAATAAAAAGTTCTAAAAGTTCTAAAAATACAACCTACGATCTGGTTGTATGGCAAAGTTAGAAACGAAAAATTGAATCTTGTAGATACAGTTGTATTTCTAGGTATAATGTTAGATGCTAAATTGCAATGGGGTCCACATATACCTAAGTTATCAAAACGGCTCAGCTCTGCAATATACGCGATTAAAAAAATACGGAAACTTTCAGACGTCGAAACCGCTAGATTGGTTTACTTCAGCTACTTTCACAGTCTAATGACATACGGCCTTTTGCTTTGAGGTAATGCCGCCGATATCAATAGAATCTTTGTCCTGCAGAAATGTGCAGTTAGGGCAATTTACAATCTGGGCCCCAGAGTATCTTTAGAGATAAGTTTAAGGAAATTAATATTCTTACACTAGCGTAACTAACTTCACAAAGTGACAAATTCATTTAAGGGGCAATGTGTACGCTTCTATAACAAGATTCCGGTTGATATACAAAATTTGTCATTCACGCGGTTCAAAACTATAGTGAAATATAAACTTTATTCTAAAGGTTATCATACAACTTCTGCGTACTTGGATGACAAAAATCCGTGATAGTAACCCGTTTAGCTCATGGAGGTAGTCTCGATCTCCGATGTTTGAAAGCAAAAAAAACACAGAAGGGATTCCCTAGTGCGGGGTTATAAGTGTGTGCGTTAAAAAAAAGACGCCTTATCCCGAAGGACGAAAAATTTTACTTCCTTCTTAGCATCCACTCAAAGAGCTTAACTTCCGAATTGAGTTAATCGATCGTTCCTCACTCGATACGCAAGAAAGAAACTAGCATAAAAATGCAATTTTACAGGTGTTGACGAAACCAAATGTTTCATTTATACCTGTGACCTTGATTATTATTGACATCACAGGTCGTCATGTCAAGTTTATGGAAAAAATATTACTTATTCATTGACACCAGCCACCTGGAAAAAATATTCAATTATCATATTTTTCGCGCGTAAATGTGCAGGAACTGTGAAAAGAAAAAAAGAATGACAGCGGAGCAACTTCGGTAGGGAATCTTTTTTTTTCCATTCTCTAAGGGGAATGTACACACTGCCAAATAGTAATTGACACTCTTTGCGAAAGACTTCGTCGAGGAAAGTACTGCCACCTTACCTATTTCTGTCGCCAAGCAGTATTATTAGTATTACTGCGTTCCGGTTTTGAAGGGTAAGGGTGCTGGTGAAATTACAGGCACATGGGACTTGTCAACTTATATCTCAGGGTGACGAGCGCAGTGGCAGTGCCCATCTGATCTTTATATAAAACTCTGAGTTTACCACCAAGCGCACCACTTGTTCGTCACTTGATATTATAAATCACGGCCTATCATGGCTACGTTTCGTCCGTACTCAGCTACGGTCGGCTCAACTGTACATTACCATCGCACGAGTTGAGAGTTGAAATTAATATGGTGAATAGATTACATAGTTAGCAGTGTAATCCTAAAATATTAGCTTTAGGAAACTCGTAGTTTTGATAATAAAAATTATTGAAATATTCGAATATATATGATAGGAAACAGGTTTTATAGGTTAGGAAAGCACAGCGTTTGGTTGTTGCAGTATTTTTTTTAAAATAACGCAAAAAAATAAACATTTTCGTAAAAAAAAATGTTTTTAAAAAAAATTCATTTTTTTTTACGAAAATGTTTATTTTTTGCGTTATTTCAAAAATTTTCCGCAGTATTGAATTAAACAGCACAAATTAATACGTAATTGTAAATTTAACATAGAAATTTACTATAATTAGTATGTAAGCTTTTATTTTTGAACAATTACTTTTTTTTGCAAAAAAAAAAACGAAACGCGTAAAGAACGCCATGTTGTTTGTTGTTGTTTACTGTTTGATGTATGCATCAATTAGGATTTTGCGTTTTTGCCTGGTTTTAGGTTTAAATTTAGTTTTTCATATAACACAGGAAGTGGGGTTGGGGGGGTGGTTTGGGGGTTGGGTTTTTCCCGCTAGGGGTTCGGGGGGAGGGGTTTACCACGCTCTTTAGTGCGAAAACATGATTTTTTGAGGTTATTTTTTTCGAATTTTCAAAAATTAATATCTCGAAAACTATTAACTTCCTAACTTTGAAACTTTGCACGAAGGGTTATTTCCTCCCCCTCCCCCCCTTCCTCCCACCCCCCTCCCACCCCTCAAAGCGTGCGATGGTAATGTACAGTCCTTCCCTACGGTCTTATACTACGGGGCAACTAAGTAGATTTAGAAAGAGTGTTCAATGTTCAGGAGAAGTGTATTCGGGCGATCTGTGGTGCGCGGTTCGATAATAGCTGCAAACCATTGTTCAAAAAAACTGAACATACTGCCTTTGCCATGCTTGTATATAAGGGACATCTATGTATTTGTGAACAAAACTGTATTTTAAAACGCGTGGTGAAGTTATACAAAGGCAAACCAGAACTAAAATCATGACTCTTTATACCAACTTCGATGCTATATATTAGTTTATAAGAATAACTGCTTCAATATGTGCATAAAGATCTTCAATAGTTTCTACCAAATGAATTTAAATTACTACACGGACCTACGTTTAAATCACAATTGACAAAAATGCATAAGACACATTGCTTCTATAGTAATAAAGAATACAAATACTAATTTATATTAATTTGAAATGCAATTGATTTTAGAGGCTAAAATATTTAATTCGATTGACATTTGCACACCTGCTTGCAGCTTCAATACATTGTACCTATTTTTATTTTAGATCTGTATAATTACTGTATTCTGGCATATAAACGTTTTCTATTCTATTATATTCTAAAAAAGTAGTTATACTGTTATTAAAATTACCTTAAAGCCTACGTAAAAGTATTTCGTTGTCCACAGCTGGAATCGGAGAGCTGCAAGTCATACGTGGAGTCGCCGGCTGCAGTTGCACGGATCTGTCCCGACAGCCGACAGAGTAAAGACGACAAGGAGAGACCTTTTTTTAATAGTAAGTAGTTTTTCAATAGGGTTTTTGTCTGCGTATAACCCACCCGGATAACTAATACCAACCTGGCCTCCTTCCTCGGTGGCTGAACGTTTTCCATTGTGGGCGTTGGATGACGAGGTACTCTGCTCTGAATATAATACAATACAAAACTGCTCTCCTTATAATAACTAACGTAATCGAATTTTTAGAGAAATTGTGTGTTTGACATATCGCACTGTTAATACAATAGTGTATTAACTCTAAAGGTGTTTTTTTTTAGAATCGATGAAAAACGAATTACTCGCTTCTCGTGAATGGTTATTAAAATGTACGTACAAGTTAAAGTTTATTACAGATATCTAAATATTTCCTACTTGCCAAATATATTTATAAATAAAAAGGAAAAAATAATTTAATATTTTTGAGTAAGGACTGTTTTGTCCAGAACTAGCTCACGAAAAGTTTGTCTCATTTTGAGTCAAGTAGATATTATGTTTTAATTGTTTCTTACAATATCCTAACGACTGTTTAATTCACGTGTTGAGAATGAAATTTTACGTTCAGCAATAGAATAATCTTGAATTTCACATATTTTGAGTTAGAACACTGTTGTAATAACAATATGATATCGTCGGATAAACTCGCAAACATCGTACCTCCATTAAAAGGCGATACAACCACAAGTAGGAGATGCCATGGAAGTCGAGCGAAATTCTCAAATTTTATTGGCATGTACAGTATGTTTGTTGAAGTGTTACAAAAGTTCTCGGATAGGCTTGGACGGTTTCATCGTTCCATTTCTCGTAATGAGAATTCTTTATATTTTATTAAAATTATAGGTAATAGGTTTGGACAAGAATTGTCACGTTGTAATGTATAAATAAACCGTAAATGTACATTGATTAATTCTGTGTACGAAACGAAACAAGAAAAAAATAAATAAAAAGAATTACGTGTACTGTTGTTGTTTGGATTAAATCTCTATTTTGTTATTTTTCGCTTTTTATTGTAGTGACTGTTTGTGGTTTTTGGAAGTTGGTTGAAGTTTTTGTTAAGAGTTTTTATTTTAGGATTTTTTTGTGGATTGACCATTTCTTAAAAATGATGTATTAAATATTCGTTTTATCCGTTTTATTCGGATAAAAGATTTTAAATTATTCGAATTATCCGAATACCAATAACCTAACCTGCGGTTAAAAAAACCGACCTCAAAAGTCATTCATCCCCTAGTTTACCACCCTTGGAGGTGGAATATTTTCTTCAAATTTAAATGGGATCACTTCTGAGGTACCCTCTTTCCAAGAATCATCAATATCGGGTCACAAATGGCGGAGTTATCGCGTTACATACATACAAAAAAAGTTTTTTTGAAGTCGGTTAAAAATGAGTGAATATTGCAAGCCCTAATGAGACCGAGCAGCCGATGAGCATATGAATGAAGTATTCGGCTTGGCTGGGCGGGCATCGAACCAAGCTACCTCGCGTTCTTAAAAAATTTGCCCGAGTTGACTCGTTGCAGGAATAACTCGCGTTAATTCGAGTTAAATAACTCAACCCGCCCATCGCTAGTGCAGGGTCCAGTACACATCAAGCTTAACACTTAAGATTTAAATCCAACTCTCTAAACAAATAAGAACGATCCAAAGTACAAAGTGTCAATTCTGATGTGCTCTTGACAGTACCTACTAATAGGCCAGTGGCGGATTTGCAGTCTTGGTCGGCCTAGGGCCCAGGCCATAGTCAGTACCAGCATGGGTTCAGTAGTTTTTGAGTTTATCGCAGGCAGATATAGTGATTATACATTACACTATAGATATGTAACATATTTAAATTTTATACATAAAATGTACGAAAGTGATTTAGAAAGATTCTTGTTAAACAATGCGGTGCAGCGCGGCCCGCCATTATGTGCGTGAGCCTTTAAAATATTTAGGTACTTTGAGTTATTTATATCTAGCTCTTTAAATAGCGAGAAATAAACTTTGACCGCTAATTATTAAACACTCATACATATCCATTTTCAATCGAATTAGAGCAAGTTTTTATCTGTCGTTAAAAAAATTTGTGTGGCAGCCATATTGGAAAAAAGCGAAAAAAAAATTTTTCCGCAAATTATTATCAAACACCCTATAGAGACCCCCACATATAGATTTTCAGCTGAATAAGAGCAAATTTTTATAAGCGCTTGTATGGCGGCCATATTCAAAAATGGTGAAAAACTAATATTGATCATAAATTATTATCAAGCACTCCCAGAGACCCTCACATGTCAATTTTCAAAGGGATCAGACCAAATTTCTTGTTATCCATCAGTTAATTTTTTGTCACGATTGGCCGCCCCTAAAATCTGGTCGTCCTAGGCCCGGGCCTACTGGGCCTTAGGGCAAATCCTCCACTGAAGAGTAAGAAAATTCCCTAGTTTGAGGTCAGACAATTGGAGTAGTTGTCTGACACATTATTTTAGAGAAACACCACACTTATTAAAAAACAATCGTCCTATTACGTGAACATAAAGGTTTTTCTAATCAGGCTTAATGAGATTCCGTAACGGCAAGCGTAGTGTCTCCCGTAAAAACCTCTACATTTATTTCCTTTTGACGACGTCTGAGTGATCGAGTGACTTGCACATCTAGTATATAACCAGAAATAGAGATGAAAGGTCATTTAATTTGTTTGAAAAGTATTCTGCCAAATCATTACACAACTGCGCTCCGGCAAGCCCGAATTCGAAACAATTGACGGGTGTCGTCAATTGTTTCACTTCAAGTCGACAAGTTTAACTTGAGGTTTGCTATAATGGACGAAAATTGAAAAATTGCATCATTTAATATTTAATTACCGATGAAATGTGATTCCGTTTGTTTTGTAATTAGATGTTTTGCTACTTTTCCCACACCACCGAACGGAACAGCGCCCATTGTTAGAGACATTATCTTTATTGCAATAAATACAGAATATTTTTGGAATATACGGAGACATACACACGGGTCAGTTGTTGGCGCTGTACTATTTCAGGTTTGTAATTTGTGATTTCAGCACAAACGAGAGTTGATATTTAAAAGTGATATAAGGCCCATTTGCTGATGAGATGCAAGGGATGGATGGGCCTTATTTCGTCTTGATTTCTGGTTATATATTCGATGGGTTTGCACGTCGGTTTTCTTGGTATTGCCATCTCCAAGAGTGCGTACAGATCTGGCGAATGCGCCAGATCTGTTCGCTCCCTGAGGTCTCGATTTCGATCTCTGGCCGGGTCAATGTAGAAAAACCAACTTTTCTACATTGACCCGGCCATCACGTTCTTCACCACGTGTTTCGTAGAAAGAGCGAAGGCGCCATTTCGAAAAATTTTTCACAGGAGCATGGTTTTAACGACTGTTTTAAAATGTCAATTTTGGTTTTTGGTTTATGGTGTGTCGTTGTTTCCGATTTTCATGACACAAGTGCTATAGTTACTTATTTTGTGATCAGAGCAACGTAGGTATATATTGTCTAATATAATATCATATTTCAGGTGAGTCACCCGGATGCGGCAATAGTCTAGCTCGATTACGATGCATCGTGCAAGCTTTAGCTAGCAAGGACCATCCATGACAAATTAGTTAAAAAACTTATTTCAAATATTTAGTATAGAACGAAAATACAAAACTATTCCTGTAATGTCGTGCGGCGATGTTCCCCGCGCGCTGTTCCCGTGATTTATAAAAACTTGGACTTGGGGTAAGCAAAAATGGCGAGAAAAGCAAGTTTGCAAACCAGCGGTTTTGCAGTTGGTGGGGCTGTGTGTACCAGACCAATATGTGTGGCGGCGGCGTTAGCCTCCTCTGTTCGCGTTACTACGTGCGCGACATTGCGTTACCTAAATGTCCCTAGTTTCGTGGATATTATTCTGTTGCTCATTGAACAAATTCGTACAAGCGGCTTTATGAGTTTGGTGTTACCATTACCAATTAAGTAATTAATACAAAGATCGAGCACTTAGAAAAAAACTTTTGTTACGGCCGGATTGGAACCCCAAATCGTGGCAGACGCTATGCGAACTAAGCTACGGAACGAACCAGCGGACCTCACGGATTTTTTTATGTGCTTGTTATCGGGTCTTTGTATTTGGTTTTTTCAATGACTTTTTAGCCGTAGCACCATCTATGAGAAATATATGAAAGTATTTCGTCACCCAGTTAGGTAACTTTACAGCTACCAGCCGTGGAGCCGTACTAGAGATATCGCTATTATCTGTAATTAAATTTGTATTGAAATGATTTTCAATTACTTTTTTGTGAATTACTCCACTAGTTTGTTATCATTATTAATACAAAGATCGAAACACTTAGAAAAAGTAATTTCTAGAAAGTGAGTAATTTCACAAATAAATTAACATCAATTTGATACAAGTTTAATAATTAAGTATTGTAGTTATAAGTTTGCTATTATATAATTAAACTTCATTAAGTAAGATTTGTCTACACGCTGCGCTGGTTCGTTACGTGGCTTAGTTGGCATAGCGTCTGTCACGGTTTGCTAGGAGACGTCAGTTCGAATTCAGCGGGATCAAAGATTTTTTTTCTAATTGTTTGACCTTTGTATTAATAATTACAACAAGTGCTTTAGATACTTACTTAGGGGTCGGAGCAACGTATGATGTTGTCTAATATTCATTATTTATTTATTAATTCAACATCAAGCGTGCTAATAAAAACACCCATTTAGCACAGTCAAGGTGCTACAGTACAGGAACATGGTTTTTTACAACTTTATAATGGTTCAAATTTCCAATTTTGACAATAGGTACCAAATAATTTAGTTTTTTAGTTTTTTTTAACGTACACACTCAACATAGGCCCGCACTAGGGAAACTCTGAAACAAGCACAAATTACACCCAAACTCACGAGGGAAATAAATGTAGGCCATATAAATATTTCTCCCGGCCCGGGAATCGAACCTGGGACCTCTGCATGGTAAAAGTTCGCCCACAGAGGCAGTTAAAGTTAAAGTTACAATAAACTAGAACACATGTAAATAATATAGATAAGTTACGGTCATACCAGCATGAAATTACAATTTTATCCTCAGAACGAACAAGCTCTAAGATGGAAGTAAATCGCGCCTTTGGTGTAATAATGTCACATCTGTACAATGACAACTTTTCACGACAGATGTTGAAAAATTCTACGAACGAAATTAGTGGTTGTTTTTTTATGTTTAAATAGGAGTTATAAAATTTCACATAGGTAGTTATACATAATTTGTTTCATGTAGTTATATAGTATTGTTTTTATAACTTTCAAGTGATAATAGCACTTTTGCTCTTATGTGACTTTATTATACTTACCAAGGCTATGTGATGTAATGTTTACAAAGCATGTTGTGATTAAACGGGGTTGCTCAATACACATTATTTACATGATTTTTTTAAAACTCGATAGATTATAGATTTTAAGAAATAACCGTACCCTATATATGTGAATATATATATACTATGAAGTGAAATCTGCGTTTGTCACGTGTTCACTAACACATTGTTTAAAGTTACTTTTCTATTAAATTTTTTTTACACTTGAAATTTATTGAAGCAGGTTATGTAGATATAAGTTCTCACTTAAGCGCAGTTGCAAGGCGGAATATATAAAAATCTCTCTTTTATTATATTTATTGTTTGTAAAAATACAATGACATAAAAATAAAGGGTAATAAATTTAAATATAATAGTAATATGATGTTCGTAGACAGGAATAAGATTCACATTTTAATTGTACAGAAATGTTGTATTTCAATATAGCAAATAATTAACAAAGAAACTGATTCTTCATTGAATAAATTTTCGTAACGCCGATTTTACGTCTGTCAAGTTCATCGGCGGCAAAGGCGTGGAACAATCGTCGGCGGCGCAGATTACATCTCTAACACTGACCACAAACTTTTTGATATGTGTACAAAAAAAAATGTAATTAAAATGTTTTTTTTCACTTAGTTGTTTTTTTTCCGTAAATATACTCCCGGACACACAATTCGAGCCAACTTGCATTTTCAATATTAAATGCTTAGCTTAAACAATGCTTGATTGATCTAAAGCATTTACGCTACTTTGAAACTGGTATACTAAACGTCATTCCCTTAAGTCTTTATTGAAAATTTTTATTTAAAAAACCGGAGAAACTTTTTCTTCAATGATAATTATATTTTTATATTCTACCCTTTCAAGGATAAAAATGCAAGGTGTCTCAAATTATGTGTCCGGAGTGTACACAATAATAATAATAGTAATAATAACGCACACACTCGACAAAGCCCCGCACTAGGGAAACCCTGTGTCGCGGGTGCCATGGACACACAAATAGACAATTACAAATTACACCCAAATTCACGAGACAAATAAATGTAGGCCCTACAAATATTTCTCCCGGCCCGGGAATCGAACCTGGGACCTCTGCGTGGCAGTCCGGCATGGTAACCGTTCGGCCACGGAGGCAGTTATCGATATATAGTTATTATATATTATATAGGAATCACGCGCCTAAGAGCGGACATTCTTGGATCGGGAGTGACTACGAAAACACTAACTGTATTGAAATGTCATTGAATTTGTTTGAAAACTATTCTGCCATATCATTACTGTGACAACTGCACTCCGATTGGCCAGCCCATGTTCGAAACAATTGACGGGTGTCGACAATTGTTTCTCTTCAAATCGACCAGTTAACTTGAGCTTTGCTATAATGGACGAAAATTGCAAAATTACATATTTAATATTTAATTACCGATGAAATTTGATTCCGTTTGTTTTGTAATTAGATGTTTTGTTGTTTTTCCCACACCACCGAATGGAACATCCCCCCATTGTTAGACATATTATCTTTATTACAATAAACACAGAATATTTTTGCAATATACGGAGACGTACACACAGGTCAGTTGTTGACGCTGTACTATTTCAGCTTTCTAATTTGTAATTTCAGTGTAAACGAGAGTTGATATTTATAAGTGATGTATCACTGATGAGTACCAAGAATGTATGGTGCTTATTTCGTCTCTATTTCTCGTTATATTCTCGATGCTATACACTGGCCGAATCTTCATCAACCGCTAGAATTGTGCTAGAAGACAAATTAACGTACCAAACTTATCCGCACCCTTCGGCCCGTCTTCCAATGGCTCTGCGAGCCTCTACAGTGATTTTTACGCGTCCCATCACTGCACGCCTTGTCACTGAGCGCCTCTACACTGCGAGCCTCATCCACCATTTCTGGTTCTACACACGACACATTCCTCTACCTTACACACTACACACTGCTCAAAAACGATTCCGATTACTGTGTTTCTTTAAATTTGCAACCAAATTAAAAAAATGTTTCTTTATTAATGTCAATGTCATGTCAATTATGTCAATTATGAAGCTTCCTTTATTTTGGCCTTAGATGATGGAAAAAAAATTTGGTAGAGTATTTCTTACATGACAGTCATTGTTTCGGACGAAGAACGAGAGTATATATTTAGGCTCAACTCACACTAGCGCATAATCGAAGCGTCGCGTCGCGTCCAACATGGCGACATTTTTCATAAAAATGTTCGATGATATAACGACACCGTACATAAAGTTAATAGTTATTTGTTATGCAAGGCTGCAAAGTTGTTGTTTGAAAGTGTATTGAAACTTGAGCCAGCGAAGGACGCTAAGATCGAAGCGAGTGGTTCAAACATAGATTCCTGAGCGTATCGAGGGTTTCAAGGCACGAGACGCAAAACAACTTAGCTGCCGAGCGAAACACACAATTTTTCACCTATATATAACTAGGAAAATGGTAGATGAAAGAAAAATTGTTGAACTATAACAAATCAGTGTTATTCATTCATACAATAAAAATTTGTCATAATTGTCAATTTAATGTCAACAATATAAGAATAAAATACCAACGCATTAATATTACATAAATAATGTACGACAAATCCCGTAGTTGAACGTGTCATTAAGTTTTTTTATCGACATTTTTTATCGTCAAGTTCGAATTTTAAAAACGCGTGGAAATACGCTTTTGCGCGCAGATTTCTAATGAGAAAGAAAGCCTTTCCGAGCAAGTGAAGTGAAAAATATATTAAATAAGTTCAAATTACATTATAATCAATTTATTTATTTATTCATTCAATCAATATTGCGAGGGCACTCACAGAGCGTATCCAAAACACCCAAAAGCTTAGGCAACATTACAAATTATTGATATAGAATTGCGATACAATTAAAATAAAATAAAATTATAGATACAATTTAGCTTACAAATGTCAAAACCTTAACCTACTTAGTATCTAATTTCCTACACGTAAAAAGTAATCATTTAAAAATATGTTCGCGTTCCTAAGAAATTGTCCAAAGGAATTAGCAAATAAGTCCATGTCATAGTGGTCAGCGAGCATATCTCCGATGAGCGTGAGTGCCCGCGCGGAGGGCGCATGCGCACCGCGAACGGTGCGCACTGCCGGCCGCTGCAGCAAGCGCAGCCGCCGACGCGGCGTCACTATCCCAGCCTCATCCCAACTAATGCGAGAGGGCACCTGAATGCTAAATTTCTCGAGAATATCTGGACTATCGATTTTATTATGAACGATTGATAGGTAGTGTAGTACTAGCATCCATTTTCGCCTAAATGCAAGTGTTTCTAAATCGACCATAGCAATTATTAATACAAAGTTCGAACCTCAGAAAAAGTCCATCGATCCGGCCGGATTCCAACCGACGTCTTTTAGCAAACCGTGCCAGACACTATACCGACTAAACTTAGTTGGTACAGTAAATTAAGCCTAGTTGATATAGCGTCTGGCACGGCGTGCTAGAAGACATCGGTTCGAATCCGGCCTATTCGAAGGAATTTTTCTGAATGTTCGATCTTTGTATTAATAATTATAATAAACTAGTTGAGTTGAGCACATAGAAAATAATTGAATGTCAATTCAATAAAAATTTAAATACAATGAATAGCGACATCTCTAGCCGGGGCTGGTAGCTGTAAAGGTATCTAACTGGGTGAATAAATCCTTTCATTGATATCTCATAGATGGCGCTACGGCTAAAAAAGTCATTGGAAAACCAAATGCAAAGATACGACGCAAGCATATATAAGCATAGTTCCGTTGCTTAGTTGGTATAGCGTCTGG